CCCATCCACAGCTTTGTATTGTATGTATACATTTCCTCAAACAATTAAAATGTTGAAAACGTCAAAATGTCTTATGTCCAGTAATGAACAAGAGAACTTGGGTAAGATAAGAGAACCTTTATCTTTAAAAATAGCACTTTGCAGCTGACATGTCCTAACAGTAAGACAGTAGTAAGAGCACACACAGGGCACACAAAATACAAAAGAAATAGCTGTTACATTTCTTAGCTAGCTGTAAATGTTTAATTATTATATACATATTTATATATATATATAAAGTTATATACACGCAGGATAATAAAGTGACATTAAGTGGGCATACTGAAATGCAGTATTGCACATGTTTTAGTATTCAATATTTACAGATGAATGACATGTGCAGCTCATTGTGCTGTTTGACAGGAGCAGGAAGGAAAGACCTGCAGAACCTCTCCTTCACACAGTGGGGGTGAATGAGTCCGTGTTTGTGAAAGTAATGACAAAGGACATCGAGTAGGAGCAGGTCATGGTGAATTTACAACAGCTAGATATCTGGAGCACAACTCTAGCCTTCCCTCATCAAATTCATCCACAATTTTTGGCAGCATGTGTGTATAGTAGAAGGACCGCAGCCTTTTGATATGTCCCTCAACATAAGTGTGGTTGTAGGGGACGTCTATGCGCACATACTCATTCTTAGCCCTAACCACCAACAAGGCTAGCTGAAGCCCTGTGCAGTGCATACCCAGTTGCACCTGCATGTAATAGCCCTTTGGGCCATTATGTGACAAGATAAAGTCACCATTAGGCAGAGGCTTCATGTCGCTGCTTTTGGCCTTGAGTGTTTCTGTAAAGGATTGGTCCTTCGCAATAACTGGGCACTTTATTTCCAGAAGTGTGTCTGTGCCGATGATACCATCTGGACTTGCTGCCAGCCATGGCTCACTTGGGCTAGCCATCAGTCCTTTTACTTCAATGGCATAACCTTCCTCTTGCAGGTGTTGTCTGGCATGCTCCTCACTGTCAGATCCATGCCGAGTTGCAGCGTTGCCGTGGAAGGTAGGATGGAGGTGCTCCGACAAAAACTTTTGTGGGGATGTGGTGCCACGAACTGGAACTTTTTTGGCTGTGCTGGCTGTTATGCGAATACGCCTCATGTCATGCCAAAGTTGTTCTCGACTCTGTGCTTTAGTTTGTTGCTCAATAAGCACAAGTTGAGCTGTGTCCATGTCAATATATTTGTTGTAGAATGCCCTGCACTTTACACACACAAATTCTGGCGAGTGCTCACCGTGGTTTGGTACCAGTGGAGCTGGTACTTTCGTGGCAAGCTGAGCAGAGAGGTCCGTTTTAAAAGTCAGCTGCAATAGTCCATTGCCTGGTGCAGTAAAAAGCGCTGCTATTGGTGTGGACAGACAGTAAGCTTGCCATTCCTCCAGGGTATCATGCAATACCACCTTGCGGCTGGTCCCAGGGGCATTGCTGGTCGAGGATGGTTGCAATGCAGATTTGTACAGTGTATTTTCTTTGTGCCTTTGGAAAGAGACATCCTTCATCTTTTGCTGGCCACTGTTACATCTTGAGCCAGCATTCCAACTGTTTTGCACATCAGTGCAGGCAAGCCCTGTCTTCCCTTGCCTCACAGCATTTTCTACCTGAAAACAAATCAACACAAAATTACTCACTTGGTTATAAAAAGCCTTCAACAGCACTCTTTATTTTATTATTAAACCTTTGTTTAACCAGGAGAGCCCCATTGAGATTAAGATCTTGTATGGCATGACTACTGAGTGGGTTGTAATATTTTTTATATTTTAGGAATGTATGTTGATTCTTGCTATGCCTTGCTCTATTCTCTACTTCTCAGTTGTTACTTACATGGCAATCAAAGTGATTGATTGTATCACACTGTTAAGTTTTCATTTATTGAGTGGTGCATTAATCAATGTAGTTTAGATTAATATTAACGTAATTGGTATTTAAACAGTGACATCTAGTGACCAAAACTGTTATTGTTGTAGACAGTACTGTCAAAACACAAGCATCAAATTAACAAAGAGATACTTGGAATTTTTTTTTGCGTCACTATTTACAGAACAGTAGGAATGAGGAGCACACAGCACAAAATAAATGATTAAAAGCTAATTAAAATAATATAACATATTTAACTATCTAGCATCAAAGACACAAGTACACAATCTCTATCTGTAACATAATAAAGTAACCAAATAAGAAGTACGGTGCAAGTATCAAAATAAAGAACGTACCTTCCACAGCACGGCGGCTGCATGGCTACACGAACGCCCAGGTCCGGCTACACACGTACAACCGGCAGTTTCAACGTCTCCCGTATTGTTTGCCACCACCACCCATGGTTTGTGGACTAAATCGTTGAGACATTGACTCGGCTCAACATCTGTCTTCATATAAATGAACGGGTCACGTTTGTGTAATAGTACACAGCCTACTTTGTTGCTATGAAGGTACTGATATGCCTCCGAGCTCTTCAGGTTGTTGATCGCATTTCCATCCACAGCCATGGAGTCAACCAAGTACGAAAATATTTTTGTTGTGGTGATTTTCGGCCATTTAGACATGTTGTCATCCCAAGTCGTTATCATGGATGGATGGGGAATTGTACAAACTCCATCTTTCGTGAGAAATGTCGCCGAATGTCTCCATTTAAGAGACATAATTCACGAAGGAAAATAATGTTTTTAAACAGTAAAAGAGCGTAACCGGAAATGAGAACACAAAGCCGGAAGTAAACCGGAAATGCCCAAAAAACTCGTCTATAGCTCTGGGCGGGGGGCTGCTGACGTCAGGTCTTGCTGCCGCGCCAGTGTTGGCGCCAGACTCAAAATTCAAATGTAGTAATACAGGTCGCCAGCAGATGGCGCCTCACAGACGGTTTTAGGCAGAAAGTTTCACTTTCAACTAATTTGCACCAAAGTGACAAAATTATGACCAGGATATGTAGACAACACTATTGGACACTCATTTATACCGTTTATCAGCAAAACAAAAATTGAAGGATTTTAGGGTGAGTTGAATTTAATAAGCATGATGTGCAGTTACAAAGACGACTGCATCAGATGTTCTTCTTTCCGTCTGTGTCCTTCACAATCATAAAACATACATAATAAAATACAGTTAAAAAGTGAAAGTTACTAACACTCCTTACATTTGTTTAAAATCACAAGATTGATCGAACCGACTCAAAAGTAACAGGTCTCTTACTGGTAACAGCTGTAACAGCAGGTAATATGATTTAAGGCGTGTCATTAGTGGCTCCTGAAATGAATTTAAACTTTTATAAACTTGCAGCATTGATGCACTAAAGACACTATACTTTAACCTTAAACATGTTTACACATTTACTGTCTTTTTGCACAAACTGAGTCATTCTATTCATGCCAAAGGTGACATTTCTTATTATTGTGAGATCAATAAACTTTATCTTATTTCATTCTAAATTCTTTGGGGTTTACAGAGAACCATGACTCTGTGTTAGATTCATATATATGCTCTACATGTTTGTGTATGTATTTGAGTATAGGGTGATAGTCGCTCAGTTGGTAGAGCATCTCCTGTCCACAAACTGGCCCGACCTAATCTTCAATAAGATGGAAATGTTACTGTCGTTCACAAATATGCATTACTTATGCAACAAAAAGTTAGGAACCCCAGCTTTAAGTTTGGCAGATTAAACAAACACACACCTGTTTTTTAAATGAATTTTATTATGATCTTTAATACACCAGTTTCAGATTTGGTTTTCACATCGGTACAACTTGTTCTTATGGATCTCACAATATCTTTGGTGTATTTTATGGATGTTTATAGTTCCGTTCAAAATAGAAACAAAAACACAAATGGATGAGAAACCAATGGCCTTAGAGATAAACCATTAAAACAGAAACAAGAAAACAATACATTTCAAGAGTCTCAAAAAAACACAACCTTCAAATATTTGGTCATTACAAATATTTTCTAAAATGTTACGAGTCATAAACCTAGAGCTGTGGAAAATGTATAGTATCTCTGTCAACAAAAGGTAGGAGACCTCTGCACAACATCACAACATTATTGAATTTGACAAAGAAATAACTCAGAAAAACATGATCTGTGACTTAAAAACTAAAAATGTAACTGAAAAAGTAAGAACATTTGAATACATTTTTTTAAACAGCAGAAGTATTGTGTAGATAGTAAAAGTAATATCTCACAGCAGGTTAAAATACTCTATCTTGGCCAAACAAGAAGATTTTACAATACTCCCACTGACGTCTCCTGTCGTTGTGTCACTGGGCAAGACACTTCACCCACTGCCCCCACCACCTGCAGGGGGATCAGGGGTGGCAGTTCTGATTGACACCCCCCCAACCCAGAAATGGATGAAGGAGATGAATATGGATGGATAGTCATTAATCCCAGTTTGTTTTGTTCTGGTTTTATTAAGTTCAACTGTCTATGATTTTCTTTTTTATATGATTACAAACATTATCAATAAGAGTGACAAGTACCTTAAATCAAACACCCAACAAGGATTACAAAAAGGTAGTTTCAACAGGTGCCTCAGACTTCTTTTCTCTGTGCTTTATTTTAATTTCTATATTTTCATGATCTTTTCCCGAAGTGAAGCAGGTTTTTTTCTGAGATGTTAGAATTCTACTGAACACTGCTCGTTGTCTTGATTCCAAACGATACATCGATGCTTTGTTTGGCCTTCTCTTTGTCGATTGACTTCCACGTTTCTGGGATATCTGCAGGGTTTGAGTTGTGAGCGTTTGCAAACTCATCGTTAAACTTTGTCAACACATACTTCCAAAAGTCTGATGCCTCGAGGCTGACGTCTGGTGCTATTTTCCAGTTGGGATAGATTTCTCTGTATGTTTTGTAAGGGTGACATTTGTGTTTTGTATCAGCACATTTGAAACGTCTATCACTAGTCTACGCTTGATGAGCATATATCAGTTTTAAGTATTTTAGATGAAACATATCGGTAAGCACCAAAAGCTTCAGGCCGATGCAGTGAGGCCCAGTGCTCCGTGTGGCCACCTCCACCTGCGTCACATGGAGCCTTACAGAAGGGGCACTGTTCACCACAGCCAATCACTCTGGTGAAGAGTTCATTCTGAGGCTTCACATGAAGGTTTTTAATTTTCTCTTTGATGTTCATGCTTATTTTGTTTGAAAGGGACTGTCCCATCTCATCAACACTTCCAATCAGCCAATGGGAAAAGGATTTTGTGTCTGCATTGTTCAGGACCATGAAAGTATCCAGAGCTTCTTTCGAAATGACTAATCTGTCGTTCAGCTCTTTGCAGATGTCTTTAACAAATAATTTTATGTTTTCACTGTTTCCATCTTTAGCTTTGTTCACTGCTTCAGTTATGCTGCGGACACAAGACTGAATTTGTTTTTTCTCAAACTCTAATATCTCTGATGAATGTGAGTAGATCTTAGTGAGAATCCAATCTTTCACATAGTTCTCGTAGTTTGTGGTATATTCAAGGTATAGCTTAAATCTGTCCTGTTCCAGCAGGTCCAACAGGAGAGCGTGTTGGAAAACAACACGTGCACTGAACTCTTCACACGTCAGCATTTTATCAACGATATCAAGACCCAGAGAGCGGTTGACAGAGTCTTCTACCGCAGGTCTCAGGCATCGCTTAGTGAACTCTGCTGCTTTCTTTTGACACTGGTCTCGTTCATGAAACAAGTCTTTGAAATCTGCACTGAACTTGGCTTTGTTTTTATTTAGACAGACGTAAGGATCATTTTCACTGAGAAAATCTCTTTGTAATTTCTCAAACTGTCTGGCAGCCTTTGCACAGATGTGTTGTTTCAGAGGAACCTCCATCTTAAACTCATGTTTGTGAAGATGGTGATCTATGCAGAGAAGAATCTCATGGATGTTGGTTTCATGGTAGTTGTTTTTTCTCTGAACTTTTTCAGTCACTATGTCTTGACATTCTGTAATGATTTTTTCTGCTAATTGATTAGCTTTTATTACAGAATCTTCATAACCAAATACTTTGGAGATCTTACTGACACCTTTTTTCCATATCCCAAAACTACATTTAAATGGTTCCAACCCACATTCTTTCAGACTCTTTTTGCTTAATTCTTTGTATGTTACACCTTTGTTTTTCAGGTTCTGTCTGAGGTGATATTCCACATCTTTGAATATATCTTGAGGCTTTTGTTTAAAGAACTCAAGTTCATTAAGGGCTTTTGTCCACATCTCTTTAAATTCTCTGTTGAGATCTTCATCCGTCATCTTAGTTTTTCTCTTTTTACAGTCCTCAATCAGTTTATGAACCCTGACTTCTATTTCCTTTGCATGTTTCTCCTTTACTCTGTCCAACTCTGCCTGCCCTTGTGTCATGTCTGCTGTTGCAGTGAGTTCTATTAATACTTTATTGAGTAATATTTTTCCTAGTCCTTTGATAAAGAGTTCAAACTCCTGCTTGTATCCTTCTATAAGCGAAACATGTCCCTCTTGTTTGAAGTACTCTGCCAGGTTTTTAAGAAGCTTTGTTTCCCACGTTTCTACTTCTGTGGTAGCCTCTGTTTTCAACTCTGTAAGAAGTTCTTTTATATCTTTGTAATCCTCAGCAGCAGCAGAAGTTTCAGCATTTTTTATTTTTGTTTCAGCATTTGCACTCCATGAGTACATGGCCTTCTTAAACTCCCATTCCCATTTGTTGTACTCTGTGCACAGTCTCATGTATGCATCAGCCACAAGGCTGTTTCTGAAGCTGAAGATGAAGTTTTCATGCTTCACTGCTTTCCACAGCCTTTTGATCAACTTACGAAACTCTATAATATTAATAGCAGTTGTTGCACAATTTGGTAAATTGTGCAGAACATTTTTCTTGAGTTCTTGGACTGCTTCACTGTATCCTACATTGACTGGGGCCATTGGGGGGATTCCATTCCACAGTCCAGGGATGTACCAGTTTCCAGTGTCGGGGTCATAGTCCATGACATCAGTGAAGCTCTTATTCTCTTCTTTTCTCTCCATCTTAGCTGCAGCTTGAGTCATCTCATTTAACTGCTGCAAGAGCAGTTTTCTGTCTCTGAGGTTCTTGTCATGAGCTGAAACATCTGAAACATTCTGGTGAACAAACTGACATCTGGGTTTTTTACCCACTTCTGTCATTCTGAGGAAAGCGTGCACAACTATCTGTAGGATGTCTTTCATGTCTGTAGAATTCTCCATAGCAATATTGATGATGGTGATGTCACTCAATCCAACCACAAGGGTTGCTAACTCGTTGTCGTGCTCGTGACTATCGTCCAGTTGAGCGAGTTCTGGAGACTTGAGGCCCTCGGTGTCGATGATCACTAAGAAGTCACAGTTGAGAGAAGCTTTCATATCTTCACTGACTTTGATGAGTAACATAAAGGCGCCTCTCGTGCATCGGCCACTGCTCACTGCAAACTGCACTCCAAACATGGTGTTGAGGAGAGTGGACTTCCCTGTGCTCTGGACTCCGAGGACTGTGATCACCCGAATCTTGTTGTTAGGAGACACCAGTTCATGGAGCTGGGTCAGAACATCACTCACCCATCTGAGAGGGATGTTGGAGGCATCTCCATCCACCAGCTCCAGAGGAAAACCATCAATTAGAAGCTGTGCACACAGTTTGGGAAGGTGCTGCAGCTGTTGGCGTGAACGGTCTTCTTTTGGAAGAGACAATGAAGCCTCGTAGAGTTGACCCATTTCCCTGAAGAAGTGTTCCGTTCCCAGTGAACTGTTGGAGAGTTGTGTGTCTATTGTTTTAATCTCTTCTTTGTTTCCTGAATCATTGCATTTTATTTTATATTGCTCCCTGAGGTCTGACAACTTTTCATGAGAAAGGTTGTCAAGGTTTATCCGAAGCCATTTCAAAAAGAAGGACCTTTCGATCCCAGGGCTTGATATCGCGCTGATGAAACAGTCCATTACTTCTGTTATGTTACGAGAATTCTGTTCTTTTCTAATCGTTTGTTTTTGTATTTGGAGGGAACTTTTGTAATGTTCAATGCTTTCAGTTCCTACTTTCCTGAGTCTACACTCTTCTTTTTCAATAGAAGTCAGGTCCCTCCAGAATCGTCCCTGCAGGGGCAGCTGCTTTTCTTTGAATCCAAGTATGTCTGCAATTTCAGAAGTAAATTTATCTGCCTCTTTTTTGGCCCTCTGACATTCAGGCTGGTTTTCATCAATATGTATTCCCAAATTAAATGCAATGTCAACCATTTTCACAATAGGGTTTTTAGTTGATGTCTTCCTAACAACATCAGTGATGGATTTTCTTAAGTCCTTGACAAAGTCTGCATCATTTTTAGATTTTTTCTTCAAAAGGATTCTATTCTTACCCAGACTAGAAGCTACTGTTTTTAGATTTTCTTTTTTAAACTGTTTGTTTTTCTCGTCAACCACTAAGTAGATCTTTTCTTTGTCTGTTTGGTTTGTTTTTTTCAGAAGGTCATGATCAAAATAAATATTGTCAGAAAAAATAAAAACCGCAGAAGACGCTTGACAGAGAAAGGCATACTGTGTTTCAAAGTTAGTAATATCCCCACGGAGGTTAACGACTGCCACTGGTTCATCAAAGATGTCAATGTTTTTATTCCCACAGGGAAGGTACCAAGTAAGTTCAGCGAGTCCATTAGAGATTATTCTCGGGTTGTCGCCACACTGCATGTTGTGGTGCACAAAGGTGTCGTGGTATTGCTGGGAGTTGCTCAGGAGCTTGTTTAGAATCTCAGACTTGGACAAAGAGCATTCACCAAGTCTCACGAACGAGATCATTGGGATTTCAGAGTTTACGACACGTTCTTCTTTGAAGCCCTTGGATTCAGAGAGAGATTTAGGTCTGTACTTTTTGACAATGTCTCTCAGAGCCCACAGCATCAGTGTGCACTGGTTTGTGTCACAGTTTGGAAGCAGCAGAGGAACAGCAAACTGACACATGGACATTTTGAGTGACAGTTCCTGCTGCACAAAGCTATCAGAGCACAGAAACAGAGCTGTTATTATGTCAAGAGGGTTAAGTTTATCTGAATCAGCAATAACAAGAAGATCATCATGGGTGGTCTCTGTGCTTGAGTCGTCACTGTCTGAGTCGCTCACTGAGCCATGGTCAACGTTTCTCGCTGTTACATTTGCCATCATAAGTCTTTTCACAAAATACCAGACTGCATCCGTCTTAGACCTGACAGGTTCGTCTGTTGTAGCCTTGACATCGATCTGGAGAATTTCTGTCAACGATAACTTGTCTTTGTAGTGACGGTTCAGCTTCAATTCTTCCAGAAAACTCTCCAGTTCGGGACCTGAGGAAACACATGGTTACGTTATACTAGTGCTGTACTGCCTGTTAAGTGTGGGATCTAAAGTTAAAAGTTTTCCAAATGAATCACACAAAACTGCAGAAACAATAAAACTGTTGACCAGTAGGCCAACTGGAATGAGTAAAATCTATGTAGGAGAGATTTATAATAATAATAATAATAATAAATCGGTCTTATATAGAATTTTTTTGGACGCTCAAAGATGCTTCACATGTGATTATTCTTTCACTCCATACACGGTGGTGATAAACTACTTATGTAGCCACAGCTGCCTCAGGGCACACTGTCAGAAGTAGGGATGTAAAAAACTATGAATTTTCATGACCGACCACAGAGCCTCATTAACTGGTTGAAACCGGTTAACCGCGTAGTTTAAAATATCCCAGGTTCTTTGAAATAACAGCCATTTCGAGCCGCGTACTTTTCAGATGCGTTCTACTGGATCAGAGCTAAGACAGCGGCGCCAAAACCCGCAACAGCTTCGGCACCTTTGCGCACAGATAACTGATATTTTTTTAATCTTCCCATTCTGCTGTGCTGTGGGTTAAAGCATTTTTAAGCAAAAGACGGCTCGTTCACATGGTCAGAGCAGCAAGTGACGAGCCGCGTCTCGCAGGTCTGCGCTAAAGTTTAAATACAAGTGATGTGTGTGGAGCTGATGCCAAGGACCAGCAGCAAACATGTTCCATATGGTTTGATTGGAGCCGCGTATTTGCGAGGATCCTTTGGGCTGTGTGACACAGAGGAGCGCAACAGACCGGTGTGTATGTATCTGTATGTTTGTGCGTAAATGTATGTGCGTACATGTATGTGTGTGTAAATGTAAGCTCCAATGTGGTTCTGACCTGCAACTTTGTCGGACTAGTAACAGAGGGGAGAGAGAATGCGTGTGGATGTTACGTATCAATGGAGGGGGGGAAATGTGTGTGTGTGTGGGTGTGCACGCGCGTGTGAGCGTGTGCATGTGTGCGTGCATATGTGGCGCGTGTGGCATGAGAGTCGGCCCGGAGTTTACTGATACATTGCAGCACACAGCTAGAGACGGACCCGCTCGTCACATCGCACAAATAGGGCTTAAAATAGCATTATTAAGAGACCTCCCCTCTCCTCCTTTTCTTTTTTTAACCGACAGCTTTGACCGGTTAACACTGTGACGGTCAACCACCGGTTAAACGGTCACGGATTTACATCCCTATTCTGTACCTTAATACATTCTTATTTTTCGCAGCCCTAATCTCCTTTCTTGCTGCTGTCTTTGTACCTCTGTCTATGACTGTGATCTGGACATATCAGTGTGTTCCTACTGCGTTGTTGAAAAGGACCAATCACTTACTTGTGTGAATGGAGGTCTCTGCAGCCTCACTCTGGAGCCTCTGGAGCTGTGCACACACAGAGAACAGGTACTGCTGTCCAGGCCTCAGGTCTCTGATGGTCACACTGGTTTCCTCAGTTTGGATTTCTTGTACCACATCTTCTCCACTGGAACAGGTCACTGAGTAGTTCTGCACTTCACCAGCAGGGGGCTCCCAGGACAGAGTCACACTGTCAGCTCTGATGTCACTCACTGTGAACGCTCCTGGCTGACCAGGCTCTGAACAGAAAGAAGAAAAAAAACTGACAATGAAAATGTATTCTTTATGTTTTATTCATCCAATAGTGTAGGGGAGGTAGGACTGAGACCGCTGCAGCGAGCGGCGCTAGGACTGAGACCGCTGCAGCGAGCGGCGTTAGGACTGAGACCGCTGCAGCGAGCGGCGCTAGGACTGAGACCGCTGCAGCGAGCGGCGCCAGGACTGAAACCGCTGCAGCGAGCGGCGCCAGGACTGAGACCGCTGCAGCGAGCGGCGTTAGGACTGAGACCGCTGCAGCGAGCGGCGTTAGGACTGAGACCGCTGCAGCGAGCGGCGTTAGGACTGAGACCGCTGCAGCGAGCGGCGCTAGGACTGAGACCGCTGCAGCGAGCGGCGTTAGGACTGAGACCGCTGCAGCGAGCGGCGTTAGGACTGAGACCGCTGCAGCGAGCGGCGTTAGGACTGAGACCGCTGCAGCGAGCGGCGTTAGGACTGAGACCGCTGCAGCGAGCGGCGCCAGGACTGAGACCGCTGCAGCGAGCGGCGTTAGGACTGAGACCGCTGCAGCGAGCGGCGTTAGGACTGAGACCGCTGCAGCGAGCGGCGCTAGGACTGAGACCCCTGCAGCGTGCGGCGCTAGGACTGAGACCGCTGCAGCGAGCGGCGCCAGGACTGAGACCGCTGCAGCGAGCGGCGTTAGGACTGAGACCGCTGCAGCGAGCGCGCTAGGACTGAGACCGCTGCAGCGAGCGGCGTTAGGACTGAGACCGCTGCAGCGAGCGGCGTTAGGACTGAGACCGCTGCAGCGAGCGGCGCTAGGACTGAGACCGCTGCAGCGAGCGGCGTTAGGACTAAGACCGCTGCAGCGAGCGGCGTTAGGACTGAGACCGCTGCAGCGAGCGGCGCTAGGACTGAGACCGCTGCAGCGAGCGGCGTTAGGACTGAGACCGCTGCAGCGAGCGGCATTAGGACTGAGACCGCTGCAGCGAGCGGCGCTAGGACTGTTCCATATGGTTTGATTGGAGCCGCGTATTTGCGAGGATCTTTTGGGCTGTGTGACACAGAGGAGCGCAACAGACCAGTGTGTATGTATCTGTATGTTTGTGTGTAAATGTATGTGCGTACATGTATGTGTGTGTAAATGTAAGCTCCAATGTGGTTCTGACCTGCAACTTTGTCGGACTAGTAACAGAGGGGAGAGAGAATGCGTGTGGATGTTACGTATCAATGGAGGGGGGGAAGTGTGTGTGTGTGTGTGGGTGTGCACGCGCGTGTGAGCGTGTGCATGTGTGCGTGCATATGTGGCGCGTGTGGCATGAGAGTCGGCCCGGAGTTTACTGATACATTGCAGCACACAGCTAGAGACGGACCCGCTCGTCACATCGCACAAATAGGGCTTAAAATAGCATTATTAAGAGACCTCTCCTCCTTTTCTTTTTTTAACCGACAGCTTTGACCGGTTAACACTGTGACGGTCAACCACCAGTTAAACGGTTACGGATTTACATCCCTATTCTGTACCTTAATACATTCTTATTTTTCGCAGCCCTAATCTCCTTTCTTGCTGCTGTCTTTGTACCTCTGTCTATGACTGTGATCTGGACATATCAGTGTGTTCCTACTGCGTTGTTGAAAAGGACCAATCACTTACTTGTGTGAGTGGAGGTCTCTGCAGCCTCACTCTGGAGCCTCTGGAGCTGTGCACACACAGAGAACAGGTACTGCTGTCCAGGCCTCAGGTCTCTGATGGTCACACTGGTTTCCTCAGTTTGGATTTCTTGTACCACATCTTCTCCACTGGAACAGGTCACTGAGTAGTTCTGCACTTCACCAGCAGGGGGCTCCCAGGACAGAGTCACACTGTCAGCTCTGATGTCACTCACTGTGAACGCTCCTGGCTGACCAGGCTCTGAACAGAAAGAAGAAAAAAAACTGACAATGAAAATGTATTCTTTATGTTTTATTCATCCAATAGTGTAGGGGAGGTAGGACTGAGACCGCTGCAGCGAGCGGCGTTAGGACTGAGACCGCTGCAGCGAGCGGCGCTAGGACTGAGACCGCTGCAGCGAGCGGCGTTAGGACTGAGACCGCTGCAGCGAGCGGCGCTAGGACTGAGACCGCTGCAGCGAGCGGCGCCAGGACTGAGACCGCTGCAGCGAGCGGCGCTAGGACTGAGACCGCTGCAGCGAGCGGCGCTAGGACTGAGACCGCTGCAGCGAGCGGCGTAGGACTGAGACCGCTGCAGCGAGCGGCGTAGGACTGAGACCGCTGCAGCGAGCGGCGTTAGGACTGAGACCGCTGCAGCGAGCGAGCGGCGCTAGGACTGAGACCGCTGCAGCGAGCGGCGTTAGGACTGAGACCGCTGCAGCGAGCGGCGTTAGGACTGAGACCGCTGCAGCGAGCGGCGCTAGGACTGAGGCCGCTGCAGCGAGCGGCGTTAGGACTGAGACCGCTGCAGCGAGCGGCGTTAGGACTGAGACCGCTGCAGCGAGCGGCGTTAGGACTGAGACCGCTGCAGTCCTAACACGACACATCATACATTCACGGTGTTGCCAGAGGTCAACTAGTTGTTCCTCCATCTCTGATGTCCACCGAACTTTCTGGTGCGCCATGCCGCTGACTGTTTTGGTTTTTTTACGGCGTTTCCTCGCCGGCTCGTCTCGTCTTCTGATTGGCTACACGCCGCAGTCATGGCAACGCGCTCGTCTGTCCCCGGGGACACCACACATGAAGAGAAATCGGGCCAAAACAATCCAGCATGTTAGATATCCCCGATGTTGAGATCGGAGCAGTCCCGAAGTCCTTCAGAGTGACGAGCACAGTCTTAACACACCACACACGGAAAATCCATCAGATTTTTTGTTACAATATTCGGAGCGTTCTTTCGATTGTCGTAGGGGTAAATCGAGTCCAAAATCGGCCTAATTATCCTGCCGTGTGAACCAGGCTTAAGTCACGTTTATTTATATCATTCTCAGTCCAACGTCCAGCTGTCGTTCCGTAACACCCCTTACCCAGCAATGATGGAAGCGGCCATACGCCACTAAAGGCGCTTGCACACTGAGTCCGTTTTTCGTCCGTTTTTTTTGTGCGAAATTGTCGCACGAAAAAAAAAAAAACGAACCCATGCTATGTCAATTACGCTTGCACACCGACTCCGAAATATTCGTCCGACATTCAATTTTTCGGAACAGCTTCGTTTTTTTTAAACAAATTTTCGTTCCGTCATATGCCGGTCATGCGCCTTTTGAGGGTTGTTTGTCCATAGCAAGCCGCCGTAGGTAAACATGGCATCGGAGCGGCTCATTCATTTGGTCTCCCAGCAAAAGCCACTTTATGATAAAGAAAGCAGTGATTATAAAGATGCTGAGCTAAAGGACAAAATATGGCAGGAGATCGCGGAGCAGCTTGGAATCGGGGACGGTATGTATTGGTTTATAGGCAGCTAAAAACAGCTATTATCATGTTAGCGCTAGCGTGGAAAACTAGCAGCCGGTAGCCAAGCTAGCCAGCGAATGAATGATTACATTAGGTACTTCAAGGCTTTAGTGGTGAATATAGAGATTCATGGAGGTATATTCTGTGTTGCCCCCCCTCACTGATTAATGAGGGGCTGGGTTTCACTAGGCTAAAAGGTCAGTGGGCCCGACGGGTCACGGAAGTGGCCTATAAAGCAAAGCAAACTCATTGCAAAGTTCACCCATCTCTTGGAAATGAGTCTACTCACGTACTATCAATAAATAGAATAACGTAGGCCACCTACGTGTCTACTTTTAACATATGTGCTTTGTGTTGTATTATTAGTTTATATTAGTTTGCCTTGTGCTAATGTTATCCATTGACTATAATAATTGTACGATGTGATTAAACATGGTTGCTGGCTGACTGCAATACTGTAACTTCTTTACATAATTCTAAATTCAATAGATATTCTAATGCAATCTTTGTCTCAAGTCTCTCCAGATTGAACTACCACACCAGAGGAGACTCATGGTACAGAGATACCACACCAGAGGAGACCCATGGTACAGAGATACCACACCAGAGGAGACCCATGGTACAGAGATACCACACCAGAGGAGACCCATGGTACAGAGATACCACATCAGAGGAGACCCATGGTACAGATAAACCACACCAGAGGAGACCCATGGTACAGATATACCACACCAGAGGAGACCCATGGTACAGATAAACCACACCAGAGGAGACCCATGGTACAGATATACCACACCAGAGGAGACCCATGGTACAGATATACCACACCAGAGGAGACCCATGGTACAGAGATACCACACCAGAGGAGACCCATGGTACAGATAAACCACACCAGAGGAGACCCATGGTACAGATATACCACACCAGAGGAGACCCATGGTACAGATATACCACACCAGAGGAGACCCATGGTACAGATAAACCACACCAGAGGAGACCCATGGTACAGATAAACCACACCAGAGGAGACCCAAAGTGTCGGTTGAACGTTTTTGAGACAAATATTTTGTTTGATGATATTGTTGTCATGGTGTGGATTTTATTTTTGTATTTGATTTTATTTTGACATTGGTTCTCTGGTTTAATTTCAGTTTTACTTCATGTCTTGTTCCCCTGTTGATTGTCTGCCCCGCCCTGATGTGTTTCACCTGTGTCTGTGTCTGTATGTACCATGTGCTTCTCTCCCCTTGTTGCTGGTCCATTGTCTTGTTCCTGGGTTCCTGGTTGCTTTTGGTGTTTTGGTTTTTACCTTGGACTTTATTTTATTAAGTCTTTATTTTGGCATTCTGGCATTTGAGTCCTCACTCACCTCACCACAAGACAATTGTTGCTGTAGTAACCCAAGCTCTAAAGATTACAATGAGACCGAGTCCATGGAGAGGGAAAGAACCGTACCATTGTCAGTGTCTGAACAGTCCTGATGTAGAAGTGTCTCTGCAGCGTCATAAAACTCCTGCAAACAAACAAGTCCAACGTTTGGTCACGTTTCCACTGAGAAACACACATTACTGCAGCTGAACACACTAACCTCCTCCTCTTCCTCCTCCTCCATTTCCTCCTCTTCCTCCTCCTCCATTTCCTCCTCTTCTTCCTCCTTCTCCTCCTCCTCTTCTTCCTCCTCCTCTTCTTTCTTCTCTTTTTCCTCCTTCTCATTCTCCTCTTTTTCCACAACCTCTTTCTCCTCCTCTTCTTCCTTCTCTTCTTTCTTCTCATCCTCCTCTTTTTCCACAACTTCTTTCTTCTCCTCCTCCTCCTTCTCCTCTTCTTTCGTCTCCTGCTCTTCTTCCCCCTTCTCTTCTTTCATCTTCTCTTCTTCCTTCTCCTCCTCCTCTTCCTTCTTCTCTCCTTTCTTCTCCTTATCTTCTTCCTCCTTCTCCCCCTCCTTCTCTTTGTCCTCCTTCCCCTCCTCCTCTTCCTCTTCTTCCTCCTTGTTCTCCTCCTCCTTCTTCTTCTTTGCTTCCTCCTTCTCCTCCCCCGTCTCCTTCCCATCCTCCTCTTCCTCTTCTTCCTCCTTGTTCTCCTCCTTCCTCCTGTGGCCGTCTCTCGCAGACATTGTTCACGCCCTCCTGTGTCGTTGCTGCTTCACTAGAATACATATGTAAATAAATACATAATTAAAGATAAAGAACCTAAGTTTAAACTCCACAAAATAAAAATTAGTGATGGGTTGATGAAGCTTCATGAAGTGTTGAACCTTTTCATCCATTGGTTCGAGAAAAGGTTCATTTCTTGATGCTTCATATGCTCACAAACCTCCTGTTGGTCAAAATCTGTATTGACAATTGAACTGTTTGTGAGGCTCTTGCGCATAGGAATTAATACTGGTAACAGAAATAAAAATGTAATTTGATTGTGTATGACCCATTAATTTATCTGTTTCATTATGATCAATACACACACACACACACACATATATTTATATACATATTTAATGATGAATGATTATAGCTTTTCAAGTCAAAATCAATGTTATAAATCCAATGGGACAAAAAACATGTTGAAAGTGTAAGTGATTTTCAAAGGACGTGACACAAATGGGGATATCATTTGGGATTGTGACCCCATCAGTTGTTTAAAACCAAAACATTTCTGACAAAATTCTTTCTCGTGTATTTACATCGACGCACTCCCGGTGAGATTCGAACCCCGGTCTCCCAGGTCCCAGCCCTGCTTCCCTATCAATTGAGCCAACCAGCTGATACCACAACCCTCTCCATCACTGACTACATTAATCACCAAAACAAACACACAGTTTGAGCGGATCTTCTGCAGTACTTCATGAATCGCTCCATATCCTGTGCTCCCGAGGCTTCAAACGTCATTAGTGACGTCACTCATCTAAAACAACTCAGGCTTCGGCCCGCGCTCTGATAAAAACTTCAGGGATTTCTCAGCTCACGCCCCAAAGCGCCGACGCGGCACGACCCATCACTAATAAAAATCCATGTCACCAGTTCCTGCTTAAACCATTTTCTTCACTTGTTCTGTGACGTGACCTCTGAAAAAGAGTGAACTACCTTCACTCAGCCCAAAGGGACAATAAGTGACTCACAGGGCTCTTGCTTACAGGTACACCACACTGAAGTCACAAATGTGTTCACAAAATGTCTAAAACATGGAACAGTATTATGGAGCTTTTATTGTTTCAATAATATTTGTGTGTGTGTGTGTGTGTGTGTGTGTGTGTGTGTAACCAGATCTGTGTGTGTGAAAACAAAGTCTACGCTTTACAAAAGTCTTTTTTTTAACACATAGATCTTTTGACACAGTCCTGTCTTTGCAGATTCGTAAGTGTAACTTGGACTGTGTGTGTGTGTGTTCTCAGATGTGTGTGTTCTCAGATGTGTGTGTTCTCAGATGTGTGTGTATTCTCAGATGTGTGTGTGTTCTCAGATGTGTGTGTTCTCAGATGTGTGTGTTCTCAGATGTGTGTGTTCTCAGATGTGTGTGTATTCTCAGATGTGTGTGTTCTCAGATGTGTGTGTGTTCTCAGATGTGTGTGTTCTCAGATGTGTGTGTGTTCTCAGATGTGTGTGTTCTCAGATGTGTGTGTGTTCTCAGATGTGTGTGTGTTCTCAGATGTGTGTGTTCTCAGATGTGTGTGTTCTCAGATGTGTGTGTGTTCTCAGATGTGTGTGTGTTCTCAGATGTGTGTGTGTTCTCAGATGTGTGTGTTCTCAGATGTGTGTGTGTTCTCAGATGTGTGTGTGTTCTCAGATGTGTGTGTTCTCAGATGTGTGTGTTCTCAGATGTGTGTGTGTTCTCAGATGTGTGTGTGTTCTCAGATGTGTGTGTTCTCAGATGTGTGTGTGTTCTCAGATGTGTGTGTTCTCAGATGTGTGTGTGTTCTCAGATGTGTGTGTTCTCAGATGTGTGTGTTCTCAGATGTGTGTGTGTGTAAATTGAACGAGAGGCTGTTCATGCACAAATCTCCAGAGAATCACATGTGGTTGTTCTACCACTGCACCAGTAGATGGTGCTGTTGTAGCCGATTACTACACACAACAAACTCTCACTTGCACAAAATAAAGAATCACACAAGCAGCAGAATGTGTCTTCCTCAGAAAGTCACTTTTTATTATTTACGGTGGAAATCATGGCTCTCTGCCATAGGAATGCAACACACTTTAAAGAGTTTTTATGTCTGTGGAAAATCTTCTATCATATTAATTGCAAATGTATTGTGTACATTTTTCAAACACAGCACAACCAAATGTGCAAGTTCTATTTTTAAAGAATAAAAAAGGATTTATTTGAAGAGAACTGTGGCTACACTTCTTTATCCTGTTCAAGCGTCTTCAATGTGCTTCATCCCTGACACGCCCAAAAGATGAATTTCTGGAATTTGGTTTCTGTTCCAGGAAACAGGGCGCGTCACTTTCTTCTGCTTCGGTTTTTGTCTAAAGCCAATTTTTAATCAACATCACTGCAGTAAAAAGTCAAAAGCAGGTGTAACCCAGATATATTTTGATATTCTTAAAATATTTTTACAAAATATAATGATATTGTTCATGTAATTTAAAATATTACATTTAAAATCATGTTTTTACTAGTGCTGTCCAAAATATCGCGTTATTAACGCGTTAACGCAATTCAATATTAACGGCGTCATTTTTTTTATTGCGCGATTAATTTTTTTTATTATTATTTTAAAATTTGTTTTACTTTTTATTGCAGACAAACACATATACATAAACAAAAAATAGAAACAAAGAAAAGGACTAGTTCAGATACATTGTAGACAGAGATTACAAGTTGGAGATACAGGGGGCCAAAGAAGAAACCCAGAAGGGCCGCAGAGAACGTTCATAAGAGTAGGCTCAAGACGCACCTTTTTAGAGTAGCTTTTTATTAGTATTTATTATTTATTATTGCTTTTTAGTACATCTATTTATGTTTTTAGACGGATTTTTATTATTTACTATTTTTAATTATTTATTGTATCTACCCATTTACTATTGTTATTATCAATATTAGGCAGCTCCCATTTTTCTTTTTATTGTCACATTTTATTGTTCTACTTTCTATTGTATTATTGTATTGTTTTAGTGTCCCCAGTGTTTCCTCTGGAGGAGCCCTCTGCACTGGGAGCTGGGGTCTGCTGTGGCTTCGGGGGTCTGGCTCTTGGATCCGGTGGGGGTCTGGGGCCTCCTCTCTCCTCTGGGTCCTATGGGGTCTGAGTCCTGGGCCTGGTGGGGTCTGGGGCCCCTCTCTCCTCTGGGTCCTGTGTCGTTGCCTGTGGCTGCAGCCGGCTCTCTGCTCCTGGTGCAGATGGCTCCTTGGATGACGCTTCTTCAGCCGTTTACATCTGCTCCCAGCCCCATTTCTTTTTATTGTTTTACCTATTTTACCTGATATGACTTTATACTTGTGTATATGTGTATGTGTGTGTGTGTGTGTGTGTGTGGGTGTATATGTGTGTGTGTGTATACGCATGTGGTCGTATATATAATTATAAATGTGGTTTTGGGGGGTCTGTGGGGAGGAGGGTTTAGGGCTGGGCATGTTGGATTGTTTTTAACTAAACTGTAAAGCACTTTGTGTTACACTTTTTGTATGAAAAGCGCTTTATAAATAAAATTTGATTGATTGATTGATTGATTGATTGATTGATTGATTGATATGGGGGGGGGGGGGATACAAGCAAACAGTATACAGTCATAGATATACCGAAAGTAAACAGAGAAACAGCATAGAGTATTTACATGAACAAATTTACAAAATATTTACAGATTGTTTATCATCATCATAATGACACCATGATGTTTCTATACAGTCTATGGTCTATACCCACACATACACACACACACCCACACACACACACACACACACACACACACACACCCACACCCATAAACAAACACACACACACACACCCACACACACACACACACACCCACACCATAAACACACACACTCCACACACACACACATTGAAGGGGCTTTTTGTTACCAATTATTTATTTTGTCATCCATTTATTGATGATTTTGCATCAAATGTTAGTGTGTAATATAACACTACACATTGTTTTCAATAAAAAAAGCAATTGCACACAGCACGCAAATGTGTGACTAATTTGCGATTAATCGCGAGTTAACTATGAAATTCATGCGATTAATCGCGATTAAATATTTTAATCGTTGGACAGCACTAGTTTTTACCTGTGAAATAAAATGTTTTGCCAAGTCTCGCGAGGCTTAGGGCAAGACTTTGGGTCTGAGATTTGCGCGCCGCCATTTTGAATATAGCCGGCTGCTTAGCATTTGTGGTTAGGTGTGTGGGAGATGCTGCATTAAGAGCTGCTACAGGTAAACATTTACCTCTCTAACTCGCTACCTCTGCCAAATCAAACATCAGTTCCTAAAACGTTGTCCTCCCAACCGTTTACAGATTAATGTGACCGTAAAGTTGTCTTTGCTGCGTATATGTGTGTGTGTGTGAAGAAGGAATCGGTGAGTGCAATGTTATTGTTATGCTAATGCTAACTGGCGCAAAATGCTATCCGGTGCTGGCATTTATTGCTATGTGAGTTTTTAATTAGGCTAATTCAGCTAAACAATAAGTGTATGCCTCACTCTATGAATTGTGTTAAGGTACCTGTTTAATGTCGTAAATGAGTGTGAACTTTTACTGTCATGAACAACCCATGGTTATTTAATGTATTCACCTGGTAGATAAGGGAATATTTATGCATGCATATTTTGTACACAGGCCAGGCTTAGGAGACTGCTTATTGCCATTGGCGACTTGCCGTGAGAGTACTGCCAGCAGCCATCCTACAGTTACCTGTGTTTGGATCAGCCTTCACGTCTGCGTCGGTAGGACACGCTGTAGGCACTCGCTCACTCCCACCACCTCCTACATTACGAGGGTTTTGCCGGGGAGCTATTTTCCTTTCTTCTGGATCCTAGAACTGTTTACCTCTTGGGACTAAGAGGCCCTATCGGACTCTGAGCGTGAACTCGGTGGATGGAAAGAGCGATTGGTTACTTGATTTTGGTTTTGTTTTGGTTTGTAAATATTCAAGTGCACTTGAGCCTGTAAATATTGTA